ACCGTTAAGGGTGTTGGAAAAATCTGGAAACCAGTAGTGCTGATGGCTGAACAACATGAGGAACACAGTTAATGTCCCTGAATTGTGCGTATAAAAAATACTGAAATGGCAAATATTTTGTTACCTATGTATTTCTCACACTCAAAAGAAGGGCATTGTGCAGAGAGGGACATTGAACCAGGTCAGATGACTGACCCTGAGTGATCCCCAGGCTTGCATTTGGCAGGTGTCCACTAGAACCAATGCTGGGATGGAGGAGTGAATGAGCAGGTGGGAGAGACAGAACAGCAGGCCCTATCAGGAACAAGTGTAGAAGGCTGCCCTGCAAAAGGACTCTGCAACTAGAGAGGGGTTGGTGAATGGACAATGGGTGTCCCTCGAGGGGCTTGGGAAGGCAAATTGGTAGGGAAAGGGCAATCCAAAGGGAGCTCCAGCTGTGTAAAGGCATGGAGACAGATTGTGAAAACTCAGGGTGGGTTAGGTGGAGAGGCTACCACACCTGCGCTGGGCAGGATTCAGAACTGGAGTGAGGAAAGGGGAAATGGCAGGTTCAGCCTGGACTCTGTGGAGTTGTAGCTTCTATGTCCTGATTACTGGGAGCCCTACCCCTCTGTCCCCTGATTTTCTTAGCCATGCCTTGATCCCTAGGACTCTGGCAGCCCCTGTTACACTCAGCCAGGCCCAGTACTGTGGGTTCAGGAGAGGCAGTGAAAACATGCTGTGATGGAGGGACATACCCCCACAAGTGGCACCCAAGAGGCAGGGCAGCAAGGTGGGATGACTACCTGACTTGGCATGGCAAGAACCTAGGTGCCGAGGGAGGCAGGGACATCCAGTGGTCACCTTTCCCACTGTGCCACTCATCGCAGAGAAGGCATCCCCAATTGGTTCTCCTTGGTCCACCTTCAGGTGCAGGGGCAGAGTGGGTCTGGGTAAGGAGCACTGACCACACCCCTAATCCCAATAGGAGCCCACATTACAGATGTGGAAAATGAGGCTCAGAAAGGTGCAGGGCTGTCAGCAGGCAAGACCTCTTCTCCTCACCCTACCTTGTCCCTGCTTCCGTCTCACGAGCCAGCGCAGCCCACAGAGTAGACCCTTAAGCCTCCCAAGCATGTCCTCTGGAGACCACTCTTTGAAATGACCTCCCAGAAGCCGCAGCTAGAAAACAAAGTGTTTATTTTTGCCAAATGTTTCCCGTTCTTGAAAGTGCCTGAGAGGTGTTTGTCAGGAGGTGTGGGTGACTCATGCAGACACTTGGAGAAGGAATTGGCTATTTTTGCCTCCGACTCCTGCTGGCTGTGGTGGGGGCAGTGTCGCTACAGCTCAGGAGACAGCTTAGGCTGAATCTGGGGTGGGGGGCACAGGAGTTGGAGGCCCAGGCAGCATCTGCCAAGCACAGCGGTAGCTCTCAAATGAAACAATAATATATTCCGAGAATTTTAAATTTTGCTGAAAACACATCCCTAGGCCCAGAAAACAGCTTCAGAATTTGATTTGGTCCTTGTCTTCTCACAGGATTGAGTCTGGGTTTCCAGAGCTTGGGGGAGGTGGACCACGGTCCCTGTGGATGTTCCCTTCCCAGAATGCTCCAGTATCTGAATGTGAGAGCCACTGCCAAAGTTCCCCTCATTCCCCTCACATTCCCTGTAGGTGCCTGCCCAGGCTGAGCATGCATCTACAGACTGGTTACAATTCCCCTCATTTGAAGCTTTGATCAGGTCTCATAGTTGGAGAGCTAAGACTCCTAGGATCTTGCAGCTTGTTGTTGTTAAGTGCCGTCAAGTCGATTCCGACTCATAGCAACAGTGTATAGGGTTTCCAAGGAGCATCTGGTGAGTTTGAACCACCGACCTTGCAGTTCAAACGACTTTGCAGTCTGACACATTAGTCCACAGTACCACCATAGGGTTGTTGTTGTTATTGTTAAGTGCCGTCGAGTCGATTCCGACCCATAACGACCCTGTATAGAGTTTCCAAGGAGCAGCTGGTGAGCTTGAACCACCGTCCTTGCAGTACAAACGACTTTGCAGTCTGACGCATTAGACCACAGCACCAAACCATAGGGTTAGAGGCCATGAAACTTCAGCCGAGGATGACCTTTCCGCTCCAAAGAGGTTGAGGGAGTTGGTACAGGGGATGGCTACGGTGTAAGGGAAGGCTACCAGGTTCTTAGAAGGAGGATGCCCTGGTCATTGTGTCTTTGTTGGGTTCTATATCCTGGAATTTGGGGGCACTGCTTGAGGTGCTTTTCTCAATGGAGAAAAGATTGAAGTTGTCAAGGACTTCATTTTTCTTGGATCAACTATCAACACTCACGGAAGCAGCAGTCAAGAGATCAAATGATGTATTGCATTAGGCAAATCTGCTGCACAGGACCTTTTTAAAGTGTTGAAGAGCAAAGATGTCAGCTTGAGGACTAAGGTGCGCCTGACCCAAGCCATGGTATTTTCAATAACCTCATATGCATGCGAAAGCTGGACAGTGAATAAGGAAGACCATACAAGAATTGATGCCTTTGAGTTATGGTGTTGGAGGAGAATACTGAAAGTGCCATGGGCTGCCAAAAGAACTAATAGATCTGTTTTGGAAGAAGTGCAGCCAGAGTGCTCCTTAGAAACCAAGATGACCAAACTTCGTTTCTCATACTTTGGACATATTGTCAGGAGGGACCAGTCGCTGGAGAATGATATCATGTTTGGTAAGGTAGAGGGTCAGAGGAAAAGAGGAAGACCCCCAACGAGATGGATTGGCCAAGTAGCAGCATCAGTGTACTCAAGCGTGGCAACAGTAGTGAGGATGGCCCAGGATCGGGCAGTGTTTTGTTCTGCTGTGAATAAGGTCACTTTGGGTTAGTACTGACTCGATGGCACCTAACAACAACAACATCTTGAGGTTCAGGCTCTGGAACTCAAGGGCAGCCTGCAGGCTCTGGTTAGACAGAAGGCCACTGAGGGGTGCTGCTGACTCCATCTACAAGAGGTAGACCACAGATTATAGAGCTCTGTAGACTCAGCCCCCCAACAGTGTGGTGATGCTGAGATGAGAGGCTAGGAAAGCACAGAGGTGGCCACTGTGCAGGGACACACGGAGTTGGCAGCCTTTCAGGAATTCAGGGAACAGAGCCCAGAATAGGGACAGATCCTACAGAGGTCCCAATGTCCCAGACTTGGCCCTGAGGACAATGGAAGCCAGACAAAGGGGCAAAACCTGCTGTGACTGGGGTATACCTTGTTTTGGCTGCAGCATGCAAAAGGGTCAGAGTCAGCAAGTATAGACAGCCAGCTAGGGGTCGTGGTACAGGTGGGATGATGAGGGTGTGGGAAAGCCCTAGCTCCATCCTGGGACCCCATAGCCAAGGGAAGGTTTGATAGGAGAGGAACCTGTGAAAACTGAGGAGTTGAAAGAGAGGTGGTTGGCCTCGCCAGGGCACTTACTGTGACCCCACCAAAGCAGGCAAGAGCAGACAAATTGGACCATTTAATCTAAGTGAGAGTTTTAAAAAAGCATCTCAGCCCAGGAACAGTTAGAACTTTCTTCCCCCAAATCTTTGGCTTCACATGCCCCTGTGGCAAATGTGTTTTCCACACAGAGCCTGATATTCATTCTCTGTGGTAAATAGACCCTTGTTCCCCCTCAGGACACAGGCCATGCCCCACCCCCTGCAGCTGCCACCCAGCTGGCCAGCTCCTCAGAAGCAGCGGGTCCCCACTGTCACCCTGACTACACGCCAGGCCCAGATGAGCACATTCTGCCCCCTCTCTGCCACCCAGCCTCCTCCACCGCATGCTGCTGTATCCACTCATCTCCCAGCAACTGCCTTCCATGCATTCATTCACTGTCACTCAGGCATTCACACAGCAAGTATTTCTTGAGCACCTACTATGTGCTGCCTCCATTTTATGTGCTGAAGGTACAGCCATAGCTGCTCCCCAACCTACCCCATGATGAAGACACGTGACAAACAAGCAAATAAATAACTTTTGACTGGGATCAATGTCAAGAGGAATGAGGGTAGGTGTAGAGTGATTGAGGGCAGAGCCATAGAGGTAGAGGTGCATCTCTGATGGAGGAGGACGAGGTGCCAGGCCAAGGCTTGGGAAGGACCAATGAAGAAGAGCAATCACTGGAGGCCATGTGGAGAGAAGGGGAGAGTTAAGGGACAAAGTCAGACAGGTAGGAATGGAGCATGATCAGGTGGGTCTTCATGGACCACAGGAGGGAGCTGGGTTGGGGAAGGTGAGCTCAGCTCATGTGATGCAACCAGTGACAGAGCTGGCCACTCAGATCCCAGAGCTGTGTTGGGACGTGCACTCACAGCCTCTCCATGTTTACATGGATTTAGTATTCCCAGTGTGCATGGGGGAAACTGAGGCTCAGGAAGGCACCCTGATGATTTTGCACACCCTCAATGCTCACATCCACCTACCACCCATCCCCTTCTCCCAGACTACCAGCCCTGTCAGTTCTCCCTCTAACCCCTGCTGCTCAGGGGACCTTTCTTCCTTGATAGCTGTGTCCAAAATGTATCGTCACCTCCCTAGGGTTCTCACTTCCCTCCCTCCCAGGCAAGAGGTTCCATGGGCACTCCTTGCAGTCTTCTCAGTCCACTCCACAGCCCACCCTCCTTGGATGAGTCTAGCCCTCCACCTTGCTTCAGGCCTGTGAGCTCTCCTGAATTTGTGATTACCAACCTGAGTGGACTTACCTGACTGGGAGCTTGCCATAGATCCTCTGCTCACAGTGCCCCCTGCCTGCTTCCCTTCTAGTCCTGGGAGTGAATGTGTTCTCTGCCCCCTTCCCCAGGTACTGGATCCACAGCTCCCATCCCATCTGCCACCGTGAGATCTGGAGCCCGCTAAGGCACCATTCCTTGTTCACTATCTACTTGTTCACTGTCTCTGCTGATAGAGCATAAGGAAGCAGCCCTGGGTCTGTCTGTCTGTCCCTTTTGTGGCTATGTCAAAGACATGTGTAATGTTTGGGGAATGTGGAGCGGCATGACATCCTCACAGTCACTTGGTCTGCAAGTGGACTGGCGGCAGTCACCTACGTCCAGGAACATGCTCTGCTGCAAGACAGCACATCCTTTTGAGGCGGTGGAAACTGTGGACAGTCTGAGCCAGCTTGTACTTTTTACTTCTGCCACATTCATATTAATGCTGAATGTGAAGAAGAAACCAGTTTGGCCATTTTTCCATCCAGAACATGGCCTGGGTGCCTAGATCCCATGGACAACCTCCTGTTCCCTATTGGCTATTCTGGTGGCCAAGAAGCTGAGGGACCAGATGCCAGGGTGGACCATTGTAGCTACCAGAGCTTGTGCCTTAGCCCACCACTGGGCTCTCCCTACTCCCAGCAGTCCCTATCACCTGGGGAAAGGCCTTCCTTGTATTCCCCCACCTTGCCCCTGAGACCTGAGGTCCATCGTCATTTTTCCCATCTCAGCCTCCCTTCTTGAAGACTTAGCCATACCACCTGTCCTTGACCAAATCACCTTCCTTCCAACTCCTTGTTGGCTGTCCCTAGACTGAGGACAACAATAGTGTCTTCATAGGACTGATGTGATCTTGCCTGTGATTAGGCACCTGGTACTGACTGCCCAGTATCCTCAGCAGCCTGTGGGATCTTCAAGGACAGAGACCCTGCTTCTCCTCCTACATGCCCGAAAGTCCCACCACTGTGAGCCTCAGGAGGACACGAGCTGTGGGACAGAGTGAAGGCAGTGAGCCAGGTGCCATCAGGTCAATTCGAACTCATGGCAAGCCCATGTGGATTAGAGTAGAACTGGGTTCTGTAGGATCAGAAGTAGATCACCAGACTTTTCTTCCAACCTTTCAGTTAGCATCATTTCCCATAAATAGAAGGTGACCATAAACATTAATGTAATGAAACAAACCTTAATTTTTTTTGAAGAATAAAATTACAAAATAAAATGTAATCAGCAGAGTTCTGGTTTTGGATTGCATAAACAGGCCCTAACTCTATCTCTCCCACTGACTGTAGCTTAAATTCTGGCAGAATGCATGGAACTACTATTTGAGAACTCTGAAAACTAAATAGTAGCAGGCAGATTTGGGAGAAAGACCAGAACTTGAAGTACCACTGAATTGGCAGTGAATTTCTCATTTTGTGTCCTCTTGAATCCCCCAGCATCAACTCAGGGCAGTCTGAAACCTGGAAGTGTCCTCAATCTGGTTCTAGTTCAAGCAGCAAGAAAGGGTCTCTTAACATTCAGAAGGAGTGGAGAAACTCCATTCATTCATTCATCCATCCATTCATTCATTCATTCATTGTCTTTCATCTGCTTGCTTGTACCCCAACCCATAAGCAATGTCATGGGAACATTGCATGGGGCCTGCAAGGGAAATTTTCCTCTCAGAGAGGAGGAACTGGTACCCAAAAGAAGTTGGGTGGGCTAGTTGCTTTTCTTTCTCACTCTGTTCTCCCATCATCTGGCCCTGGATTCAGGCTTAGTCATAGGAAGTACACAGCAGAATAGAGTAAATAAAGTCCTGCTTCTAGATAGGGGACTGAGAAAGAGAGCCTCAGGAAACCAGAAAAATAACAGATTGCAGGGAGGGTGGAGCTCAGGAGAGCTGCCCCATAAATTTGTTTATGAACTCCTGAGCTTATCCCCGAGCTGCACAAATGTAAATCGGACCCTAAACAGCATGCCACAGACTGATAGCTGATGTCAAAAATAAACTACCTCCCAGACTTCAGATCGGCCCATGAAGGGCACACATTTTAGACAAATTTGCTTAACAATTCAAAGATTTTGAAAAGAACTGACATTGAAACCACAACTCATAGAAGGTTAGTAAAAATTTTTGGTGTGAGCCCAACAGTAGGCTCAATTGCCTACTTAATTTAAAAATAACAGCACTGTCCATAGGATTTAAATAAGACCCAGAAGTCCACAAAGTGGTATTCAAAATGTCCAGGATACCAGCCACAATTGCTTTACATATGAAAAGGCAGAAAAATCCCAATTCACATGGGAGAAGAAAAGTCAATAAATATCAATACAAAACTGATGCAAATATTAGAAATACCTGATGTATTCAGGCATACACATTCAAGAACCTCAAAATAAGTTTAATCCCAAACAGGGTGTAGTTGTTGTAAGGTGCTTTTCAGTCAGTTTCAATCTCATCCTGACCTTATGCACAACAGAATGAAACACTGCCTGATCTTATGCCATCCTCACAATTGTTACCCTTGAGCCCATTACTACTGCCACTGTGCCAACCCATCTTTCTAGGGTCTTCCTCTTTTTCACTGAACCTCCACTTTACCAAGCACTTCTCCAGGGACTGGTCCCTCCTGATGATATGTCTGATGTATGAGAGATAAAGTCTTTCCATTCTTGCTTTTAAGGAGCATTCTGGCTGTACTTCATCCAATACAGATAAAATACACACACACAAATTTATGCTCAGACACATCATAATTAAACTACTGAAAGCCAAAGATAAAAGGAACATCTTGAAATCAGTAAGAGATAAGTGATGCTTTAATTATAACAGAAGAATGACTCAAATTACTGTGAATGTCTCATTAAAAATCATGGAAACTAGAGGGAAGTGGACCAACACTTTTTAAATGCTAAAAGAAAAAAAAAAAAATCACCCATAATTCTATATCCATTAAGAATATCCTTCAGGAATAAAAGTGATATAAAAACATACTCAGCTTAATGAAAACAAAGAGAATTTGTTGCCAACAAGTCTGCCCTAAAAGCATTGTTAAAAGAAGTTCTTTTGTTAGATGGGAAATGATACCATAAGGAAATTTATAATATTTGGAGCGAAGGAAGAGCAACAGAAATGATAAATAGCTCTATAGTCTACTTCCCTTCAATTAAAAAATGTTTGATAATTGAAAACAAAGATGATAGTATTGTCAGATGTTGTTGTTGTTGTGTGCCGTGGAGTCGGTTCCGACTCATAGCGACCCTACACAGGGTTTCCGAGGCTGTAAATCTTTTCGGGAGCAGACCGCCTCATCTTTCTCCCGCGGAAACGCTGGTAGTTTCGAACTGCTGGCCTTGCAGCTCGCAGCCTGATTCGTAACCACTCCACTACCAGAGTCAGATAGGATTTTCAACATATGTGTATGCAACATTTTGTTGTTGTTAAGTGCTGTTGAGTTGGTTCCGACTCATAGTGACCCTGTTAGGATTTTCAAGACTGTTAATCTTTTAAATGGGAAAAGATAAGTTACTACATGATCAAATGTTTTCTATATTCTGTTTGAGGAGATAAAATATTCATTCTAAGTAGACTATGAAAGTACATGTATTGTAATCAAATGACACATTGCACTGGGCAAATCTACTACAAAAGACCTCTTTAGACTGTTAAAAAGCAAAGATGTCACTTTGAGAACTAAGATGTGTCTGATCCAAGCTGTGGTATTTCAGTTGCTATATCTATATGCAACAAACCCACAAAAATAGTTGGAGACTTCAACACTCTTCTCTTTAATCATTAGAATTAATAGATAGAAATCAGTAATGATATAGAAGAATCTTAACTAATTATATTTTTATAGCATTACACTCAACAAAAGCAGAATTACATTCTTTTCAAGTACACATGGAATATTCACCAAGTTAAATCTTATCTTGGGTTATAAAGCTCACTTTAACAAAGGTAAAGGAATTGAAATCATAAAAGTATGATTTTTGTATTATATGAAGTGTCATTCCCACCATAATGAATTACATTAGAAATCAAATAAAGAACAAACTGTTCCCAAACACTTGGAAATTAATCAACACACTTCTAAATAACCAATAACTGTGAAGAAAATAAGTCAGAGATGTAATAGTGAGTGTCCACTGGAGGCATGTCTACACATGTGATCTGAGAAGGCCTTGCAGAAGAGACGGTATGGTATCCACTTACCTCTGATAACAAGCAGGAGCTGGTCATGTGAAGAGGGATGGATTCTCCTGCCTGAGAGAGCTGCAACTACAAAAGTACAGATGCAAGAGCAAGAATTCAAGAAGCAGAGAGAAGATTGAGATTGTATCGAGTTCACACATCTCATACCTGCTTGTGGCCTCCTTTCAGTTCCTCACCCTGCCTGCCTCCTCACTCACTGCCTGGAGAACAACACTGTATGGTAGTCAGGCATGGGGAGCTGAGATCGAGCCTTCATGTCATTAGCCTTCTAAGTCTCATCTGGTTTTTGCACTGGTCCCCAAAGGTAAGCCACATTCTTGGCCTTTTGGTGACATTGAACCCAACAGTTCGTTGGGTTGACTCCCACCAAGCTGCCCTTGCTGGACCTCTGTGAAGCTGTTGTATTAGTTTCCTAGGGCTGCCATAACAAAGCAGCAGGAATTTAGTCGTCTTGTTCTGGAGACTGGTGGTGGTTACGTGCTGTGGAATCAGTTCCAACTCACAGCAACCCTGTACAGGTTTCCGAGGCTGGTATTTTCTAACGGCTGACCTTGAGGTTAGCAGCCCAACTCGTAACCACTACAGAGCTCCTTTTCTTAACACTAGAACCAAAATCAAGATATTGGCAAGGCCATGCTAACTGGATAATTTTATGAATAAGAATCAACATAAAGTTAGTTCAGATGAGGTAGAGGTCAAGTATATCTCCACTTTCCAACTTCTCCATTATCTTTGATACCAGCTGCTCCTCCACAACACTGCTTTTCTCTGCTGAATTTGATATGAAATGACTCAGTGAGCTTACAGCCTAAACTTATGGTTATAGGATTTATTAAGGTACCTAAACCAACACAAAACCTAACCCATTTCCATATAATCAATTCTGATTCATAGGCACCCTATAGGGTTTCCGAGGCTGTAAATCTTAGAAGGCTTATGACATGGAAGGCTCAATCTGAGCTCCCCATGCCTGAAGCACCATGGCAGTGTTTTTCTCTATATTGCCTTGAGTTGAGATTCTGAAGAGGCAGGCAGGGTGAGGAAGCAGACTGCCACATCTTTCTCCCACAGAGCAGCTCATGAGTTCTTACTGACCTTTTGGTTAGCAGCCGAACACTTTAACCACTGAGTTACCAAGGCTTCTAGTAGGATAAAAAGATACAATCAGAAGTGATAGGTTACCACTCAAGTTTAGTGTCAGAAAGAGGTATATA